ACATTATAGCGTAATGTAATGTAAACAAACTGCGAATAAGTTATCGTTTAGTTTTGTTTCGTATTTCGAATAGAGTAAACGTTAATTTGTGCGCTATTCAATATGACTCCAAGCAAAGTTGCTTTTTATAATAAATTAGGTGAATTAACCAAGACAAGCCCAGATCATAGTACTATTTTTAATAATGAACGATACGAAACGTTACTCCAGGAAGTGCAAGAGGCACTTAATATTGTTCATTTCATTTATTTCATTAAATTGTTGTTTAATATTTTACTCAAGTGTTTGAATTCAAACAACCATCCGCAACGCGTTGTGGCCTTTCCTTATTGCCACAACGCGTTGTGGTGCAATATAAGAAGAAACGTAAAACGAATTCGCTTTTTGATCGTTTTAACTTTGCCACAACGCGTTGTGACCGTTTTTAGGTAAGCCACGAAACGAAATTCGGGTTGCGGACAAATCTCATAAGCCACAACGCGTTGTGGTCGCTTTTTTCGCTCAATGACCGTTTTCGCATTTGGAGCCTAACATATACATCCTAAAGATTCCAAAAGTATTCCAATTTCCAACCTCAGTGCGAATGTTGACCCTATGACTTATTCTTTAATGTTTCCTTCAGGTGATCAGGGATGGACTGTAAACATAAAACAAACTCAAGGCAGTCACAATATTACTGCCTTACAATCTAACATGTTTCGTCTTTCATTTAGAGAAGCACTTAATCCATGTTTAGCATTAGGGAAAACAACTCAGCAATATGTAGTTGATGTCTGGTCGAAAGTAAAGGGCGAGCGATTAAAATATATTCATTTACAACAACAAAAACTTCGAGCAGAATTTTATTGTGGACTAATGGATTTTATTAATAATAAATTATTATTATTATTAATTATATTAATAATTTTAAGACAAATTAAACATAATTTATTGAAACTTTATGTGAGAAAGATTTCTACTTATGATTATACTTGCATATATTTACACATTTTCTTTGATGTATTATATTATTTTATACATACCTTTCTTGTAAAACTTTCTTTTTTCCTGTAAGACGAAGTCCTCGCTTACGTAATTCGTTTTTCAATTGCACACACGACCAAGAAAAATATTTATTTATCTCGTTACTCATGTTTTTATTTTATCAAAAACAAGAAGAAAATCAAATGTCATTTTAACCGAAATCAAAAATTTGGCGCTCCACGATCTTGCTATGGTGCTGCCCTCTGGGCTCAGCTTTACATATAATGGTCCCCATTTAATTAAGTATATTTTAGAGCCCTAAATTAGCCTTAAATGCGTATGTGTTTGTTTTTGAAAATATTGAGTTTTAACTAGTTGAGGGTAGTTTTTGTGGTTGACTATCCATCAGTTACTTGGCTGAAGTGGTTGGGGGTGCACTTTTAAAAAGTCCATTTAGGGTCAACCGGGGTAAATCCGAACGCTTTTAGTAAGTTTCAACAATAACATAAGTTTTTTCTTTAAAAAAAATACTTCCGGTATTCTGGTGCATGAAGTTGTTACTTTACTTCCATAGAACAATTTTATGGGGTAGCAAAATTTTTTGATAAATTACAATCGCAGGAAACTTAGCGTTCGTATTTACCTCGATACTTTGCAACTTTCCTAAAATACCGGGGTAAATACGAACGCCACTGTATTTCAGAAAAATCTTAGGGCAAATAAATTTAAAGTACCTATTGCAATTGTTAAACTTAAATAAAAACTCAAAAAAATACGATAATAGACCTATTATGTAATAATGCATCATATATAAATGGGACGTTTCACGTCAACCGGCTTAGACATCCATCCAAAATTCTAATCAACGAAAATCGACTTATTACAGCTCAAAATAATCGTCAGCTCATACTGCTTCGAATAAAAAGTGGCGAATTAAAAAATTCAAAACGGCGTCCTTACTGTACCATGTTTTGCAAATTTTTTTAATAACTCAGCAAACAAATGTATTAATTACCTTCAGAAAATAATTGCAACTTGTTGGATAATGGGTCACTCTTATGTTTTTGGGGTCGCTGATTACGAATCTGAAGTCAGATTTTAAAAATTTTCAAAATTCAAGATGGCGGATCCAATATGGAGGACATTTTTATTAAAATTTGATCAGATTCGCTTGAAACTTGCTACTCGGTGGTTTTTGGGGTCGCTGATTACGAATATAAAGTCAGATTTTAAAAACTCAAAATGGCGGATCCAATATGGCGACCAAAATTTTTTAAAAATTATTAGATTTGCTTGAAACTTGTTACTCGGTGGTTTTTAGGGTCGCTAAATACGAATCTAAAGTCAGATTTTAAAAATTTTCAAAATTCAAAATGGTGGATCTAATATGGCGACCAACATTTTTTTTTTAATTTAATCAGATTCGCTTAAAACTTGCTACTCGGGGGTTTTTGGGGTCGCTGATTACGAATATAATGTCAGATTTTCAAAATTCAAAATGGTGGATCCAATATATCCACCAAAATTTTTTTTGAAATTGTCAGTTTTACTTGAAACTGGTTACTCGGTGGTTTTTAGGGTCCCTGATCACGAATCTAAAATCAGTTCTTAAAAATTTTCAAAATTCAAAATGGTGGATCCAATATGTCGACTAAAAATTTTTTTTAAATTATCATATTTGCTTGAAACTTGTTACTCGGGGAATTTTGGGGTCGGTGACTACGAATTTGAATCTGGATTTTATAAAATAAGATTAGTGGTTCCAAAATGGCTAATAAAATATTTAAAAATTGGATGGATTCGCCACCTTTAACTCCATAAACCACCCCTTACACATTATTCAATTAGTTGTTTTAAATTTTTCTTCCATACAAATTTAGGCTTCATTTAAAAGATCTTAAATATCATAAAAGTAATTTTTCAAAATACTACCCTTAATCCCCAAAACTACCCCTTAATATTGGGATCTGACATGGGGGCGGGGCCTAAAGCAATATGGCGTAAATTGGGTAACACTTTTAGTGAATTTACATGGGAATAACATGGGATGCAGAAAATGTTCATTTCTATGGACAGTATTTGCGCATGGGCAGGTACAAATCCTGCTCAACGAAAATTTATTGAAGGTGAACGCGTTTTGCAAGCCGGGCACATTATAAAGTGTGGTGTAAATCGTGTAATTTTGGTTTTGGTTTCGGAAATTTATGGAAAATTACGCTTAAATTTTTCGCTACAGTACTGCCACAGCCTCTCACAGAACACTTAATTCTGGAGGAAGATTTCTCACGCGGTAAAAATGTAGCTTCATTCATAATGATAAAATAATTAACAATGACAGCGGAACTACAATTGCAAGTGACACAAACAGTTATCCAAAACTAGTTACATTTTTCAACACCAGATGGCATGTGTACGAATGTCAGATCCCAATAGAAATTTAAGATTTTTTAAAATTTACTCTACATAAATCTTTTATAATTTTAGCTAATTTAAGGCTTTTAAATAGCCTTAAATTAAATTTTGAAAAATCTACCCTTAAATTACTTTTTTAAAATTTTTCCTTTCCTTTATAAAAATTTCCTCTATATCATTTTTTTACAATTTAAGCACAACTGAAACTTTCAAATATTCTCAAACTTAATTTTAAAAACTGTCCTTAACTCTAAAAACCTTAACCTCAAAAATCAGCCTCATTACATTTAAGTTTATAAATGCAAACGAATTTTACAATTTCATCCGCCATATTGGCTCCACCATTTTGAATTTTTAACAACTTTTACATCAGAATCGTGATCTGTGACCTAATTTTTAAAAGTTGACGTAAGATTCGTGATCATCGACCCCAAAAATCCCCGAGTAACAAGTTTCAAGCAAATCTGATAATTTAAAAAAAATTTTTGTTCGCCATATTGGATCCATCATTTTGAATTTTGAACATTTGTAAAATCTGACTTTAGATTCGTAATGAGCGACTCCAAAAACCCCCGAGTAACAAGTTTCAAGCAAATCTGATAATTTAAAAAAAAAAATTTGGTCGCCATATTGGATCCACCATTTTGAATTTAAAAATTTTTTAAATCTGACTTTATATTCGTAATCAGCGAGCCTAAAAACCACCGAGTAACAAGTTTCAAGCAAATCTGATAATTTTTAAAAAAATTTGGTCGCCATATTGGATCCGCCATCTTTAATTTTGAAAATTTTTAAAATCTGACTTCAGATTCGTAATCAGCGACCCCAAAAACATAAGAGTGACCCATTATCCAACAAGTTGCAATTATTTTCTCAAGGTAATTAATACATTTGTTTGCTGAGTTATTAAAAAAATTTGCAAAACATGGTACAGTAAGGACGCCATTTTGAATTTTTTAATTCGCCACTTTTTATTCGAAGCAGTATGAGCTGACGATTATTTTGAGCCGTAATAAGTTGATTTTCGTTGATTAGAATTTTGGATGGAGCTCTGGGCCGGTTGACATGAAACGTCCCAAATACAAAAATCAAACAGGTTAAAAATTAAAATGCATTACACAATTAAAACCTTCAATAACTTTATCAAATCATAACGGATTTTTGCAAAACTTGCTACAGAAAGTATTTTGGAGTGATTGAATGTAAATACAAAAATAAGTCAAATTTTTTAAATTAAAAATGGCGGACTTTCCTAAAAATTATTTTTAAAAATGATCAAATTTTCTAACTCCAAATTCGTAATCAGCGACCCTGAAACCCCCCGAATAACAATTTTCGAGCGAATCCAATGAATTTTTTAATTCTCGTCCGCCATTTTGAAATTTGAAAAACTGACTTCAAATTGGTAATTAGCGATCCCAAAAACTGTAGAATACCAAATTTTATTAAGATCCTAAAAAACTTTTTTCAACAAACCATTTGGCAAAAAAATTGAAACACTCCTTCGAGAGAACAGAGATTAAGTTTCTGCTTATTAATTACTAACGAAGATACGTATAGAAAGAAAAACTTTTTTCTATGTACTTTTATAATGTTAAAATAATAGTGTAATGAAAGAAAAACAATTTTGTGTGGCTCTGATGTAAAAAAAAATTATTGAAAATACCGTTCGGATTTACCCCGGTTTTCCAATTTTCCTGGGTAAATACGAACGGTCTGATATTATTAATAAAATTTTACAGAAGGCAAAAATGAAAAATAGTTTCTGTTCTAGTATTCATAACAAACAATTATAAATAATAAAATAAATTTTCAGCTTCTTTTTCTTCAAATACGAGACAAAATACTGAAAGAGTGTCATCTTTGATTTTCAATCTTTTTTGCAATACTCGTTATCTTTGTTTATGCTGTTGCTAATTAACAAACGAAAAATGGGATAATACTTAGAATCTCTTGAAGAGGATCTGAGGTAAAAATTCTCATATCGAACTTATTTTTAAAAATTTTAATTAAGCTGAAATAATTAGCGTTCGGATTTACCCCCTGTTCGGATTTACCCCGGCTGACCCTAGTGCTGCATATTAAAAAACCCTAATTTAGCTCATAATTCCTATATGATAATTGTTTGATTAAATCGAGTTTAAATAATTGGGGATGTTTTTTGTACGTAGGTGTGGTCTTTGAAAATTTTTAATAGTCCCAGTTGAGAGCCCTAAATTCATATGGAAGAAATTTTGAAAAATATTTAGGTTCCTTTATGTGGTACTTCCAGCTTGACTTCAAGCTAGCAGGACCAAGGGTTATTTTAAATAGGTAAAAGGCCCTAAATTTTTGCATGTGGTACTAAATTAGCCCTAATTGAGCCCTAAATGTGGGCATATATAAAAACTTTTTTTGTGGAAGTGGTACTTCCAGGATTACCGACCTACAAATTCAACAATTTCAACCCTTACTGCGGGGAATAAACAATAATCTCAACCACTGTCAGTGGTTAAGACTCCTCGAAGAATAATTCGGTGGCAACGATCACACCCTGTTTGTATATAATTTTAAGTAGTTGAAGGGTTGATTTTGCAATCAACACCTCGTTGTTTCCATGCAAATTTTAGCAAACTTGCATTATATTGGTGGCGTGATCGGTTCAACCACCTGAATTACCTTTATGATTTATATATGGGAAAAATCACGTGAGATTTTCGTCGACCCTTTAAATTCGGCCAAATATATTTTTTTCTTGTTCTGTACTGAAAAAAAAGAGATACGTATTTTTTTCTTTTTTGAAAAATTTTCGAGTTATGAATTTTTAAAATTTCAGTTTCTTCACACGGTGGGCAGGAAGCAACGATAGGTTGAACAAAAGTGTCAAGAAAAACTGAAAGTGGGGTTGTATTTATGGATGATTGTAGGTGAAAAATCCATTTAGAATGAAATCCTAGCTGCTCCTATTTCAAAGTTATCCACATTTTAATTTTTTTAATAGGATCAATTTTTGAAAAATAGAAAAGGCGCGAACATTTCTTTGTGTTTGTGTGTGTACGTGTAGACATATGTTCACATACGATTTCCACACTTGTAGCCAAATATAGCATCCTTTGTAATTTCCCAATTATAAAATAATAAATATTAAGTGTTGAAAGTCACTAGTAGACGTGGCAAATAACACAGCCCCACAAAAAAAAAGTGTCGTGCGCGGCAGACCAGACTAGTCATTTCCCATGTATTTTGACGCGCTGAACACGAATCCGAAGTCCGTTTTGCTCCATCACGTCAGGATTTTTTTCTAACCTCCAAAAACCTGTCGGATTTTGAGAGGTAGGCTATTTTTTTAAAAAATTGATGGATTTACTTCAAAATTGGTATCTAGGGGTTTTTTGAGTCGCTGATGACGAATTTGAAGTTAGATTTTCAAAATTCAAAATGGCGGCTCCAATATGGCGGACAAATTTTGTAAAAATTGATGGATTTACTTCAAACTTGGTATCTATGGGTTTTTTGGGTCGCTGATTACGAATCTGAAGTTAGATTTTCAAAATTTAAAATGGCGGCTCCAATATGGCGGACGAATTTTGTAAAAATTGATGGATTTACTTCAAACTTGGTATCTAGGGGTTTTTTGGGTCGCTGATTACGAATCTGAAGTTAGATTTTCAATACTAGAAATGGAAATTCTTATATACATAAGTAAGGTATTTACGTCTTTTTATGGTAGCGCACTCTTTTGTCCTCAAAGGATCTGTGTAATGGTTTTCTTTTCAAATTGGTGCCTCCATGTACAATATCCCTTTTCAGCATCCAACAGTAGTTGGCCATCATATTTACATCCCTTCTTCCTTGATAACGAAGCTCAAAATCTTTCAGATCTTGATGGAATCGTTCTCCTTGTTCTTCACTGTAATCTCTCAAATTTTCAGGGAATTGATCCCGATGCGAGTCTAAGTAATGCAACTTTATGCTCATTAAGCATCCTAACTTACCAAAGTTTTTAATCATATCACTAACTATTTGCTCCCAATTTTCACTCTTGTGATTACTCAGAAAATTTTCGACAACTGCTTTGAAACTAAGCCATGCGGCTTTCTCCTTTTTATTCATCTTGGTGATAAATTGCTCATCTTTTAACAATTTGCGAATACAAGGTCCGTCGAAAACCCCTTCTTTTAGTTTCGCATCAGAGATTTCTGGAAACTTTTGTTCCAGGTATTTGAAACAGTTTCCTTTTTTATCTAAGGCTTTGACAAACTGTTTAATTGCTCCTAGTTTCGTGTGTAAGGGCGGAATTCGACCCTTTGAAGGGTCGATATCGTCCACCATATTGGAGCCGCCATTTTAAATTTTGAAAATCTAACTTTAGATTCGTAATCAGCGACCCAAAAAACCCCTAGATACCAAGTTTGAAGTAAATCCATCAATTTTTACAAAATTCGTCCGCCATATTGGAGCCGCCATTTTGAATTTTGAAAATCTAACTTCAAATTCTTTATCAGCGACCCAAAAAACCCCTAGATACCAATTTTGAAGTAAATCCATCAATTTTTTAAAAAAATAGCCTACCTCTCAAAATCCGACAGGTTTTTGGAGGTTAGAAAAAAATCCTGACGTGATGGAGCAAAACGGACTTCGGATTCGTGTTCAGCGCGTCAAAATACATGTGAAATGACTAGTCTGGTCTGCCGCGCACGACACTTTTTTTTTGTGGGGCTGTGTTATTTGCCACGTCTACTAGTGACTTTCAACACTTAATATTTATTATTTTATAATTGGGAAATTACAAAGGATGCTATATTTGGCTACAAGTGTGGAAATCGTATGTGAACATATGTCTACACGTACACACACAAACACAAAGAAATGTTCGCGCCTTTTCTATTTTTCAAAAATTGATCCTATTAAAAAAATTAAAATGTGGATAACTTTGAAATAGGAGCAGCTAGGATTTCATTCTAAACGGATTTTTCACCTACAATCATCCATAAATACAACCCCACTTTCAGTTTTTCTTGACACTTTTGTTCAACCTATCGTCGCTTCCTACCCACCGTGTTCAATGTAGACCTATTTTCAATGTCTGATAACTCGAAAAACATGTATTTTTTCAATTTTTGATAAAAAAAGAAAAGTTTCAGTTTTTCTTTTACTTTTCAATAATGTTAACAAAAAATTTTTTTTTCATTTTTTATTTAAAAAAATATCAATTTTTTATAAACAAATTAAGTTTTTTTTAATTTGAATATGATATTTTTAAAATTTTTTTTTAAACATACCTGGAAATACTAAGAAGATTTTGCAAAAAAATTTAGAGTTGGCCGATAAGTTTTATAGGTTTAAATAAACATTTAATCACCGCGATCAGCATTTTTCGTATTTTTAAAAATTAAAAAAAATTGTAAAATTGTTAAAAATTATTTTTTTTTCATTTTTCATAGTGAAATATGATTTCAGGTTCCATAAAAAATGAAAAAAAATCATTTTTAACAGTTTAAAAATTTTTTTAATTTTTAAAAATACGAAAAATGCTGCGTGCGGTGTTTAAATGTTTATTTAAACCTATAAAACTTATCGGCCCACTCTAAATTTTTTTGCAAAATCTTCTTAGTATTTCCAGGTATATTTAAAAAAAAAAATTTTTTAAATATCATATCCAAATTAAAAAAAACTTAATTTGTTTATAAAAAATGAAAAAAAATTTTTTTGTTATCATTATTGAAAAGTGAAAGAAAGACTGAAACTTTTCTTTTTTTATGAAAAATTGAAAAAATCCATTTTTTTCGAGTTTTGAGCCATTGAAAATAGGACTACATTGAAGAAACTGAAATTTTGAAAATTCATAACTCGAAAATTTTTCAAAAAAAAAAGAAAAAAATACGTATCTCATTTTTTTCACTACAGAACAAGAAAAAAATATATTTGTCCACAATTAGCAAAATTGATTTGTAATTTAATTCATGTTATTTCGCAATATGAATTTCAATAATCTCGATTCATTTGCGAAATAACCATTGATTTTAAAATTAAAATAAATGAAAAATAAAATTATAAATAGTTATTAAATTAATTTGAAATAATAATTGAATATTTAACATTAGAAAATTTGAAGTGCGTGTGTTGTGTATGTTGTTGGTATATAATTGACAACATATTTGTGATATTAGTTAACAAATATTATATTTAATAAATAATATATAACAAAAAAAATTAAAAATTTACGGAATATAACATAACCTTAATCATAGTTGTACTCTAACTCTGTTCAAGAATTGTTATACATATGTACACAGGCCAATACTACACGAACGATACACATTTTTTTCCTGTTGTAGACGCAGCTTTGCATAACGACACGAAAACAAAACAAAAGGCCTTTCTAGATTCTGGCTACGAAAGTTCTAATCTGTGAGCACGAAAAGGTTCTCAACCTGTTTATAAAATTATATCTGAAGGTACGGTCACACCTTCAGCTGCCTGCACAGCAGAAATATCTCTGTATTATACATGTAATATATACGTATTATACATGAGTTTGTAACGCTGCTTTGGTATTTGTCTGCAGGGTTGGGTAGGTTGCCATAAAATAAACAATTCAAGTATTATTGTTAACCCACACAGCACAACATCTTACACCAGGCCTACAGCAGGCTTACATGTAAGGTTTGTAAGGTAACATCGTAAGCCCATAGTAGACTTACAGTAAACCAAAAATGTCCGCCTTACAGTAAGCTTACATGGTAGGGTCGAGGTAAGCTTACATGGTAGGGTCGAGGTAAGCTTACATGGTAAGGTCGAGGTAAGCTTATGAGTAAAGGCTGTGGTAAGGTTATTATTAAGTTGTAAGGTTGAGGTAAGGTTGTGGTAAGCTTACAAGGTAAGGCAAGTTATATTCAAATAATAATATTAATAATAAATAAATATTCAATAAAAAAAATTTTTCTTTTGCCTTATTCTATTTTGGGAACCTATCATTTCGCAGAAAGTTTTGAAAACAAATTTGGGAGGAGTAGGATTCGAACCCGGGACCGAAGTATATACCTAACAACCTAACCAACTGAGCTAAACGGGGAACTGACAATGAGAAAAGTAATCTTACTTTTAAAGTGGAACCAAGAAGATAATCAACTCCTTAAAAGCAAGATTACTTTTCTCATTGTCAGTTCCCCGTTTAGCTCAGTTGGTTAGGTTGTTAGGTATATACTTCGGTCCCGGGTTCGAATCCTACTCCTCCCAAATTTATTTTCAAAACTTTCTGCGAAATGATAGGTTCCCAAAATAGAATAAGGCAAAAGAAAAATTTTTTTATTGAATATTTATTTATTATTAATATTATTATTTGAATATAACTTGCCTTACCTTGTAAGCTTACCACAACCTTACCTCAACCTTACAACTTAATAATAACCTTACCACAACCTTTACTCATAAGCTTACCTCGACCTTACCGTGTAAGCTTACCTCGACCCTACCATGTAAGCTTACCTCGACCCTACCATGTAAGCTTACCTCGACCTTACCGTGTAAGCTTACCTCGACCTCACCGTGTAAGCTTACCTCGACCCTACCATGTAAGCTTACCTCGACCTCACCGTGTAAGCTTACCTCGACCCTACCATGTAAGCTTACCTCGACCTCACCGTGTAAGCTTACCTCGACCCTACCATGTAAGCTTACTGTAAGGCGGACATTTTAGGTTTACTGTAAGTCTACTATGGGCTTACGATGTTACCTTACAAACCTTACATGTAAGCCTGCTGTAGGCCTGGTGTAAGATGTTGTGCTGTGTGGGAATTTATCTGTTGTTGAGTGGAAAATACGATCAATATATACAAGGTCATTTCTGACAGTTGGAACACCTGCATACAAGGTCATCTCTGACAGTTTGAACTAGTAGTGCGATTTATTAAAAGAGTTAATTTGAAAAGCAAGCGCGAATAGCACGTTTCATAAGTATTCTAAGAACTTAGATTCTACTAATTAACTGAATAAAAACATCAGTGTACTAATTAAAACCATTTGCATCTTATTAATAAATAATCCTCTCAGCAAGTCAATCTTTCAAGATTTTTATAAGAATCAAACTCAATTAATATTTGAAAAACTAACTTTAACTTAAAGTGATTATTTATCATTGATATTTCCTTAATAAATAAATAATTTAAACATTGATGATGACCAAATTGTGAAAACACCTTGATTTATCGTAAATAACGTAAATAACAAAAAGAGGTTAATGCGGCTACAATGTCGAAAACCTGGTTTTCTACAGTATTATACGTATAATACGTCGTTTATGTATTATATGTAGAAAACCTTCAGAAAAGCACTTTTACCTATCACTTCTACACAGGCAGCCTCCCACTACGCAGTACAAGAGTAAGAGAGACAGAAAATTCAAATTTAAATCTACTGACTCTCTGATTGGCCGGAGTGAAGGAGTGACTGTAACAAAAGTTTCATTGAGGCCGTTTCTGAATTGAGGATTTTTGCGCATTTTTGATAGGCCGTTTCCGAATTATTATTTTTAGTGCACACTAGATAGAGGTTCTACAATAGACAGATTACCTATCTCTTTCGCACTCATGGGATATGCACTTGGACTTGGCCGTTTCCGATTTGGAATTTTTAGCGTACTTTTAATAAAGTGTATACTCGGGAAATATGTAGTGTCCTTGTTTTTCCGTGCGAAAAAAGGACACAGCACACTTCCCGGCTATTAGGATCAGAAATCATAGGGAATCATGGGAAAAATAACCCACTTGCGGTAGCCATCTTGATATTTCATCTCTCTCTTAAACATATGTTAAAAGGGAGACGGAACAAAAAAAAGCTACCACAAGTGGGTCGACACCAGATGGCGTATCGCAGTTCTGCGGTTTGTAATACACTTTATCGAAAGTCCACTAAAAATCCCAATTCGGAAACGGCCAAAGTGTTTACTAAGGAAGTTAGGGCCGTTTCCGAATTCGGATTATTATAGTGCATACATAGTAAAGTGTATACTAGGGAAGTATGTTGTGTCCTTGTTTTTCGCACGGAAAAATAAGGACATTGCATACTTCTCTAGTATACACTTTATAGGATGTTCTAGAATAGGTGCAAAAAGCAAGTGCAACTACAACTCCAAATGCAAATCCCATGAATGCAAGACAAAAAGATATACTACCTAACTCTTTCGCACTAATAAGATTGGCACTTTGGACTTGCACTTGGCTTTTGTACCTATTCTGAAACCGCCTTATCAAGTATGAATTAAAAATTGTAAAGTTGGAAAACAGAGATAAGATTCTGGAACTGCCTTAAAGTGTATTCTTGAGAAGTATGCAGTGTCCTTGTTTTTCCGTGCGAAGTAAAAGACACTGCATAATTATCGAGTATTCACATTATCAAGTTCGCTCTAAAAATCCCAATTCGGAAACAACCCACACTTCTCTAGTATACACTTTCGCAAGTATGCGCTAAAAAAAGCTGCAGTCTCATGGTAGCATTTTGTGTTGTGTTTTGTCATTATACCATGAGTAGAAAAGAGATACAGATATATGTTTGCTATGTTTACACTCATGGACTATTTTCAAAACACTGCCATTGGACTGCAGCCTGAATGTGGTTAGTTAAAACATTGCAATTAAGGGAGGCGCCTATTTTATCGGGTCAAAAAAAGCGATTTTTTAAAAGTTGTCTTAACTGAAAGTACAACTACACTGTAAAAAATTTTTTCGAAATTTTTCGAAAAATAGTTTGCCAGTTTTTTTTCGAAAAGGTTAGAAATTTTTCGAAATATTAGTGAAGAAAAATTTCGAAATCTGTTTTGATTTTTTCCGAACAAAACGTTAAGAAAAATTTCGAAACTCTGCTCGATTTTTTCAGCAACCTCTTACGATAAATTTCGAAACTTCTTTCGACTTTTTTCTAAATAAAAATTGAGAAAATTTTCTAAAAATTATTCGATTTTTCTCGAACAAAGCGTTAAGAAAAATTTCGAAACTCTGTTCGATTTTTTCAGCAACGCCTTAAGATAAATTTCGAAACTTCTTTCGACTTTTTTCTAAATAAAAATTGAGAAAATTTTCTAAAAAATATTTGATTTTTTTCGAATAAAGCGTTAAGAAAAATTTCAAAACTATGTTCGGTCTTTTTAGCAACGTGTTAAGATAAATTTCGTAACTACTTTTGATTTTTTCTAACCAAGAATTGAGAAAAATTTCTAAAAACAATTTGATTTTTTTCCATTAACTATATTTGCATTAATGATTATGTGTGACAAAGTTTTGGTAACTTACAGATATTTATAATTTTTTTAAATTAATTAATATAAAAAACTTTACATTTGTCTTACAATTAGATACAATTTATATATTTTTCAAAAAAGTTTATAAAATTTAAGTTATACATATTTTTCAATTATAACATTAATAAGATTTGAATATATTAAAATATTCAACTTATAGATACTCGTAACTTAAGGGAAAAAACTTGTGTAAATGCAAGTTTTTTCAAGATTTTCTTACAAAAAAATTGTAAAGTTTATTGAATTGAAATAAAGCATACCTTAAAGCAATATAAGCTATGTATAATAATTTTTTAAACTAAAAATCTTGCAAAATGACAGCGATACAGGCGTTTAAAGTTAGATCTTTGGTTTTGCGCCGTGCAGCCTACTGGTCTCAAATCTCAACCAAAATCAAAAAATAAAACTTTTATCGTTAAAATACACAAATACGCTTTGCATGACAAAAAAAAATTTGTAAAAATTTTTTTTTACACGAGTTTCCCCCCTCAAATACAATGATTTATATGTTTTATTACATTATTTATTAATTTGGCTGTCCTTGAATCCTCTTCATTTAATTTTTGGGATTTACTTTTTCTTTGCCTCCTACTGCCTTTGTTTGATGGGTTTATATCTAAAAGCAGTCTGAAAATAATGTGAAAACATTTTTAATATTAAATTAATAAATAATAATTAAAAGGAAAATTTGGATATTTATACATAAGTATAATATAACATATATATATAAATCTTTACCTTTGAATAAATTCGAAGGTCGATGCCTTCTTTGCTTCATAATTAAACCCATAAACGTAGTATGATAATACTAATAAGAAAATCCCTTGTAAGACATTGGAAGTTCTTATTAGAATCGTATCTTCGACTACTATTAGACACTGTAAAGATTCGTCAAACAGACTTCTTCCTGAAAGAAAACGTAAGAATATTATTATTAAGTAATTATTGTTACATGTGTACTAATATTTATTAACTACTTACTAACATTGATAAAGATTTTATGTATAAATTATAAATATAATTAAACATGATATAAACCTTTTATGATGAGAATAGGACGTGTAACATTAGCCATTTTTATAATTTCCTCATCCGAAGCGTCAATGTCCTGAAAAAAAAAATTTTTTAGTACAAATATTTGTTAATTTTAATTGTCGAATCATAATTCAAAAGATAGGTTATACTTACAGCCAATTTAAAAATAGGCTCTTCGTTAAAAAAAGAGGCTAGAAGTGGAAGAAATCCAATCGTTTTTGGAAATGAAGAATCCAAAGTTGACGAAGCATTTTTTATTTCACTCAAAACTGACTCCAAATTTTTGGCAATTTTAGGTTTTATTGTTGCCTTTTTGTATTTCGTGTAATAATCTCTGAAATATTCGTAAATTGCAGGAATTTTATTTTTTGCGTTTTCAAGCCATATGTTTTGAACTTTTTTGCCAAGCAAAGTCTCAGCATGTGCAAGAAAATGTTTTTCTTGTTTTAAATGGGGCCAATGATTTTGTAATATATCTGCCAAATTCAAGTGAAGCTGTTCCCTTCTATTTAAATTAATTCGCTGGGTAGCGTAGGTAAGATTTAAATACTTTGCTTCATCTTCAACTGGTAGCTGCATCTCAGGGTTCGAAATAGAAAGCAAAAGGCTATTTTTCATTATATTTTGAGTCTCGTTTGTCTCATTTTCTGGAAGTGGAGGTTCGTATGCTACACAGCCATAACTATCCTGGTTTTTACCGTATCTTTCTATAATTAAATTCGTTGTATTGTCTTCTTCATCGCTGTCAGCAGGACGTGGACGCTTCTTTTTCCCTTGTTGAGTTTTCTTAATACGGTCATACAGTCTTTTTTGCAAAGACTTCACACCAGATGAAATTTCTAATCGAGACTCATTTTCAGTCCATATTGAAAAGCCAAAAACATAAGGAAATTTGTGTACCATAAGTTCTGCGACACGTCTTGCAGTGCTGAATCTGTCATCTTTTAAATCATCCATCATATAGTCTGCGGCATTTCTAATAAAATCTAATACGTAACTCGAAGGATTCGATTCAATATTTTTTAATTTCTTGGGAACTATAGAATCCCAAGGAAGAGCTGATATTCTGTCGCTGCTGGATGGTGACAGACTTACAATACTATTTTGTTCTTCAATATTGAAGGAAGAAGAAGATTGTGAACCTTCATTTTGTTGATCTGAAACAACAAATTATTATAACCAAACAATAAAAAATAAAATAATTTTTAAATATAACTGAATATATTACTTGTAATAGTTGGACTTATTGACACTGCTGATGAAACAATCTCCGAAATCGGTTTCCAGGGCGCATCTTTATAAACGACCATCAGTAGTAAAGGGACGTTTGGGTACATTTCCGCCAGACTTTCCAAAATACACATCTTTGAAATACTTGTACCATCTTCCTCAAGAACAATCTATAAAATCGGGAAAAAATGAAATTTAAGAAAACTGTACACTGCTCAATAAATAAAATTCTTCATACAATAAACAACTTGGAGTTACATAATAAAACAATATTTAATGCAATTAAACAAGATAGAAATAATAATACCTTACACGATGAGTCCAAGTTAATATTCAAATTTGTGCACGCTTCAGATATCAATTCTTCTAAGGTATTACCACAAACAAGACTTCTGCTATTTCTACTTGGGTTGGTAATTTTATACAAGCGCGAAACCATAATTGTTCTATAAAAAAACAGATTTATAAATTTTAAATATAATTTCAAATTTTTTTAACAAGGTTAGTATTATACATCAGTTCAATAGGCCTCAATTTTTGTTTTTTAGGCATTGATTTACAATAGTAAAATTCTGGGAAAACATTTTACATTACTATTGCAAAATATTTACTTACTGTTTTATTAAATGTTGCATCTTGCAAATTTGTTTAAAGACAGAAGCGGATCATTTTTAAAGAGTTAGATCTTTGGTAGAATATTTCGTCGAATGCACGTGTACATTGATATAAAAAAACTTAATAATAATACAAACAGTTTGAAGAAAGAAGAACATATTATCTTAAATTCAATATTTAAGCGAAGTTTTAGACTCATAAATAATTAACATATAGAGCATACAAATTTAAAATTAATATAAAAAATAAAAAATTATTATATTCATAAGTTATTCCAAACAATATTTAATATAAATTACTTAATTATATTTAGATTTAATAAGTATAGAATCAACACAAAGATGTAGAAGTTAAAGCATAGTTCAGTTTCACATACTGTTTAGTATCATGTACATAAATGTGTAAAGGGCTATAACTTAATAACTTTTTAATGGGTATACATTCATATCTTAAGTGACAACCCAATTCGTATAATCGAAGTTTTGATTGAAAATTTGTTTCCACAACTTCCACAACTATATTTAAAGATTCTTCATTATTGCATAAAATAAGAACAATCTTTCCCATCTCAACATTATTTTCATATGATTCTTGTCTTATAGCAAGGGCATTTCCCTTCCTGTATTGAGTACCTCTAAACATAGCAACTGAACATTCAGTAATTTTTCCACATAAATTTGCATTACGTATCGCTTTTTGAATATCTTCCGAATAGCGAAACATACAAAATTCAATTTCTTCGAGTAGCTGAATCTCACATCTTAATCCACCTCCTGCACGCAAAAAACTTTGCAAAATTTCATGTTTTTCGGATAAAGTTAATGTAATATTTTTAAAGCATTTTAAATGTCTTATTGCTCTTTTGAAAAAAGTGTGCTTACTTTCAAAACGCAATGTAAAAACTTTTATTAAAGGACCAAATTGGAGGATCAATTCAGGGTAATGAGATAAATAATGATGCTTTGGTCGTAATTTTATATTAGGAAATAATCTTTTCCTATTACTGAGATATTCATCTATTAAAAATTTTAAATGGGGAACAAAAGATTTATCAATTTCCGTGGCGCATACCATTCGACAATTTCTGTTAGATTCATAAGACACAACCAAACATCATCATCAAGATTTACTTTGTTTCCTACAAGAAGGGGAAATAATCGAAGTAGTACTAACAATTGCCAAGCTCCGCCAACTATTCTCTTTCCTTTTCCTTTCTCTGGTACTTTGGTGGGCTTATCTCTTCCATCAGAATGAGAATATTTAAAAGAATCTATTTTCCTGTTGAGAAATTCAACAGAAAACCAGCCTTTTCCGACAAAGTACATTATCATTAAAAAAAAATTGAAAGCTACTATGCCTTCAAGTAAATCATGTGCGAAGCATGATGGCAATCCAGGTTTGCAAACATGATATCCTTTCAAACGATTGAAAACAGAATTGAACTTTACTCCTTCATAATGCAATGCGTTTTTTTTCTTTTTTCGTATCGATTCATTATATGACTTAATCGTTCTTGGTTTATACGATATAGAAACATAATCCATATTTCCCACTTCTTCACTTTCTACAAATTCTTCATCTTCCTCATTTTCATCAATTTCTTCATCTTCTTCAACTTCTTCATTTTCTTCATTATCTTCATTATCTTCATTTTCTTCATCATTTTCCTCATTATTTTCTTCATTATTTTCATCTTCATCACTTTCTACATCTTCTCCAATTTCTTCATCATTTATATCAGATTCGTCATTGATTTTCTCATTCTCATCTTCAACTCCTTGTTCTTCATTTTCTGTGCTAGTATTACGCATAATATTTTTATAGAATTCTTCTCTAGTAATTAAGCAGAATCTACAAATATACTCCGCTCTACTAAAGTTTTCAACAAATCCTCCTAACCCATGTCCTCCCAAATTATCTGTACAAATAAATGCAATAGTACCTTTTACAAATATATTTGGCGATATTTCAATTCCATCTCGTTCAATTTTAATTAAATCATTGACTATTCTACCGTAAACTTTCTCGTGATTAAAGAATTTTTCATTGCAAAGTGCAACAAGTTGTATTGTATTAATATGTGTACGCAAATAGTCAGGCAAGTTTCCGATACTTAAATATACTGCTAAAAGCTTATGTTTTGTACGTGCTGGACCAATAGGATTTACTACTTCAAAACTGTCTTGATATAAAATAAGTTTAAGTGAAATACGATTGTTTTTAAAGAAATCATTATTCAAAAAAACACTTCCATCAGAAAAATCTTTTAAAACATCTGTATTATTACTTTCAGGAGTTTCTAAATTAATATTAAAAGATTTATCCCGAAAACAAGCTTTTAGAGTTTTTCTAAGAGGAACATAATGAAAAAATCTTTCTTTTCCGTTAATAATCCCTAACGAACATTGTACTGGTTGAACATAAGTAAAACGATCCTTGTACAACTTCTTTCTCAAAAAATTTGATTTTAATTGGGAATGACAATTAGTAAATGGATCCTTGTCCGTAACTGCTTTTATTATTTCCTCTGCTTGAAGATTAGACATTCCTGATGTACGAAGCTCATCACGTATTCGATTTCTTAGAAGATTCATTCTTATATTGTCAATATTTCTTGACTCAAGAATAAAATATTGTATTGTAGAAGCAGGCACCAAAAACTGAGCTTCCAGTTTCATATACATTTGAGCCATATTAATTAAATATAAATTTTCAAAATCTTCACTTTCTGCGTGCGGTACCATTAAGATCTGATTGTCTTCTTCTAAAATGGGAATTTCATTATCATGATACATAGGACTGTGAGTGTTTTCATCGCCTATAAAAGATGCATTAGTATCAAATACTTCTTTTACACTTGTTTCACTTTTGTCTACTGATGTTATAATTGCATTAGACATATGTGAGTGGCATCTTGATAAGTGAGATGTAAATGAACTGACATTAGTGTAATTTTTTTTACATTGTACAATGGGACATTTTACACTTTTGTTGTTGTTTAAATGCTCTTTTAAATGCTTCATAAATAGCTGATAATTAATGTATTTTTTACGGCAATATGAAACATTACAAATGAACTTGCCATCTTTATTTATAATATTGCATGAAATACTTTTATTTAATTCATTACGATATTTTATGTTATGTACACGAAAAATAAGTAATTTTAAAGAAACGACTGTTTTAAAAACTCTTTTACAATTTTGCCAACCACAACATATATGTTTGTTCAAACTAGAATGGAACTTTTGATGATCCAAGTGCTCCAGTAAATTCTTCGTTTGATGGATGCAAAAGCAGCAGAAGTACATGATTTCAAACTGTAAACATATTGTTCTTCTAAGTATTTACTATTCATACATTAATTTTTATTGTATGTAGGGTCAGTACACTAATTATGTTTCACCTAAAATATTTATTTTATCCCGCGTGGAAATGGAATCATGGGTAAAATCATAAAAACCATGGGCGAAATCGATTGCCAAGGTAAATACGATTAGACCCATGGTTTAAACCTTGACAAAAATCTTAAAAATCATTGCTCATGTAAAATTAAAAAATTGTTTCCCATGGTTCGCAAGTTTTAAGCCATTGTCCAAAATCCGTAAAATTATTAAATATTTTCCCATGGTTTGCAAGTTTTTAGCCATGGTCCAAATTCCATATAATAAAAAAAAATTTCCCATGGTTTCCAAGATTTTAGCAATGGCCCAAAATTAGTAAAATTAAAAAATTAATTTTCCCATTGTTTCCAAGATTTTAGCAATGGTTAAAAATCCGTAAAATTAAAAAAAAATTTCCTACGGGAAATTGTACCATGGGAAACGAACATAAGCAATGGTTTTTGAGATTTTTTCCAAGGTTTAAACCATGGGTCTAATCGTTTCTTCCTTGGCAATCGATTTCGCCCATGGTTTTTATGATTTTACTCATAGTTTCATTTCCACGCGGGATATTACTATGATTATATTATATAATCAACGTTTATAGATTTATATTCTGAAGAAGGTATTAACAAAACCCATCAAATTGAAAAAGGCGTTTTCTAAATTTTTTTATAAAAAATGTAGCCAATTACATGAAAATCAAACAAACATATGTGTACGTCCGGATGAAAAGATACCACTTTGGTACTATTGGAGTTTTCTGTATGAGTTAGAAGTGCCAAAAATCTAATAGAGAAAAATGAGTTTAAAGTTCAAATCTACCATTAGCTCCCATGTTAATTAAAAATCAGAATATTAGTTGTTTTAATTACAATGAAGTCATCGTGAATGCATAATATAACGAAGAACACTTTGTAGTTTGATTGCGATTATTTCCTAAAATAAAATCGAAAAAGTGGTCCCTTTTCATATATACATACATTTACAAATTTTGAGGCATAAAACCATAAAAGACCCTTCTACCCGTCTATTGCGGACCAGGTACAAAGGCCTTTCAAATTTTAAATGTGTCCTCTAGAGTTTCCTTATAGGAAAAGTAACACATGTTACATTCCTTTTTATATTGGCTATATTTTTCATTAAAAAATCCGCTCTTTTATAACAGGATGCGCAAAAAAATTTCAATCTCTTCTGAATTAGTATATAGTATTAGTATATATAATATTTAACTGATATTTTAACATTAATTATTATTTAACTATTTACTCTCTAAATATGAATCAGTGAAAAAGTCACTGGTCTCAAATCAGTCGCTAAATTCTAGCTATTTGAATCAGTGGTTTTCACTGACAGTTAGTGACATTTCATTGGAGAATTAATTACTTTGACTGAAAATCAGTGAAATGTTACTGATTCAAATAGCTAGAATTTAGCGACTGATTTGAGACCAGTGACTTTTTCACTGATTCAAATTTAGAACGTAACATTAATAATATTTAACTTTTTTCTGAATTTCTAAATAT